CTGAGTAAGCTTTTCACTTAAAAAAGTGCAAGTATATTTTTTACTTAAAAAGTGCAAATCCCGCCATCTATGTCTTTGCCAGGAAACTACATACTTCGATCCTTCTAGTCCACTACAGTATCGAAAAATGGGTACGCGGAATTCCTTGGAACTAAATATTTCACAATGTCACAGACATAGAACGCGCGACTACAGCGCTTATTTATTAGTTGTTTTTCACTGGATATGTAAGTTTGTTTGTTTAAAATGAATAACTACTCAAAAGGAGGAAAGGACATAAAAATACACAAATTATAAATAAATACATGAAAAAAATATACTTCAAAAAAATCCGAAAAAAATCAGGCATACTCTATACACGTAACCCAACAATCTCACGAAGTTTCATAGAAACATTCTATTTCACCCTATATACCTAGTCCAGACAAGTTCTGTTACAAATGAAAATGTTTTTTTTTAATGAAGTAATGAAATATTATTTAAATTTATACCTTATAAATATGTTTATAAAAGTCACAGCAAAAAAAGAAAACAATATTCGAAATGGCCACCTTTAGCTTTAATACAGGCCTTTAATCTGTTTGGCCGCGAATCTATGGATTTACGCACTATTTCCGATAGGCCCCCAGGTGCAGAATCCTGCTGGAAACTCCACGGTATATTTTTAAAAAGTGTATTACTGAGAGGTTTCGCCCACGATCTAAGACTGTATCTTGATACACTTTTGGTGAAGTTTTCACTCCTTTTTCACAAAAATGTAGTTTAGTGACTAAACCATCACTGACGCAGGATGATGACCACGTTGTACCTTTCCGACCACTTGAGAAGCTTCTTTAGAACTGTGAGTGTACACTTTTTTTCCTGTTTACACGAGACCAACATGAGACGGCATATATTACTAATAATTTAAGATTTATTGACACCGTTAGACTAGACTTGAAAGAAACTACCTAAGCAGTCATCTAGTACCTTTACCCGTAAAATCAAGAAACCAATATAAAGCTCCCATGCAAAAGTTTACTAACTGTATCAACTTTAATATAAATATCAATTAAAGAATTTCTTTTTTACCTCGCAGGAATTGTATAAAGCAGTATTTATCCCTGGAAAGATAGTGCTATTTCCGACTAGGGTGTATTAAGGCCCTTGGCTGCTCTTCGGGTCTCAAACTACACCCTCGTTGGAAATCGGTCACTTTTTCCTCTCGGTGAACAATGTACTATGGTTTATCTTCACTGCTGAATAAGATACTTATATGAGAATTTCTTGTGTCTTACCTTCTTTAGCTTTCCCTGCAGCTTCGTTCGCTGCATTGCCGGCTTTGTCTGCAGCGCCTTTCGCAGCATCGCCGGCCTTATCTGCAGCTGCAGGTGCTGCAGCTTTTGGGTCCGGCTTTTTATCTGTAATAACATTAATGTATGGGTTTAATCTAGTTTTAGTTAAATTGAGATTTAGCGAAATTGATGCAAGTGGACCTAAGAAAAAATAATTCACTAGGTCCATCATGGATTCCTCTCGAGTCCTACCCAGTGGTGTAGCTACCTAAGGGCTAGGCGGGGCAGTGCCCCGAGGCCCTCAAGCTCAGGGGGCCCTCGAATCCTTACCAGAAATCTCGATCGAACTGAACTTTTGGAAATTTCTCCCATTTTCAAAATAAATATGACAGGTTGCAACCCCACTTTAATCATGACAACTCAGTAGAGAAAAATTCAAAAGTTATGCCTAGGGAATTCCCCTAAATTCTTTCTGCAGGTTGGCAGTGTTGTCAATTTGACGGATAGTGATATGTGCGTTTCATTATTCATCGATGTGAGTTTTATTGTGAATTCGAGCTAAAAAAGAAATTTCGAGAACGGTTAATAAATTAATGTTGTATCAGGAGTAAGTAAGCTAATGTCAATAAACTTTTTTGTACTGGTCAATATAGTGGTTCAATTTTATTTGATTTCTCCACACATATTGATGTCCGTTAAGTCACGGTAATAATATCATACAGTATTCTATCTTCATACAAACGGTCGGAAAGCGAGTCATATCTACGCCACTCGAGTTTGATGTGCTCTCGGCGGGCACCCAGTCGCGAATGCGCCGCCGCGCCGCAAAGACGACCGTTCGGTCTGAATTGTTTTTATGCAGTTAGCCGTGCTTAAACGTGCGTTTTGTATTGTAAATATTTGATTTAATTAAGTAGATACCTACATAATTTAGTATGGAAAAGAACAAACGACGATCAATATCGTACAACAGCACAATTGCTGTTTTTGGTTGCTTGAACTCTTCAATAACACACCCAGAGATATCATTTTTTTTAATTACCTGAAATATTGGAAAGGTGTCTTACCTTTATAGAATATTTTTTATATACCTATCTACTAGTACGTAATTTGTTTCTAATATTTAGGTATTTCGGTTTTTTCATCGGGCAAAATATCTGGAATAATATGTAAATAAGTGGTTAGGATGAAAAAAGAGACAAACGAGCATGGCTGTAGCTAGAGTCGAATTTGAGGTAGGGCAGCATTGGTTACAAGTAGGGCGGAAGTAAAAAAAATATCATAATTGATCTGCCCTCGGAGCACGGGCCTCCTAAATCAATCGCCATGTATATTATTGACCTCTAGGTCAATGATGTATCTATTGCTACTATTTTTTTTATCTTAACCCATATACAAACAATTTAATTATAAAAAATTATCTTAGTTTTTGGTATTTTTAAGGTAGGGCATTGTGATTTCAAGGTAGGGCATTGCCCCACAATGCCCCACCCTAGCTACGGCCGTGCAAACGAGTAATCTACCTACACTCGCGTTAAAAACAAAACTACATAAAATACTGTAGGCGGGCGGCCCTACCGGGTGCTAACGCAGCGCTCGGCCGTAGGCATTTATTTTTAAGGACAGGGCGGAGTCACAATACTGTATAGATAATATTACCGTGGTTAAGTCAATAAATCGTGTCAAATCTATAGATATCGGCTACAGCTCATTGTTTAACGCGAAATATCGTGAAAAAATGCAAGTCACCTGCAGTAGGTACATTAATTCAGGTCCGCGGGCAGGAGATCGTTCATGGTCTGCACCGTTCAATGTGGTAACTCTAACGGTGATATTTTTTTTCCGGGGATTCCCCAACGACACTTGTGGCGTATCATTGTGTTTTTCTTTCCTTTTATTTTACTTTTAACGTCGTCATTGAACAGTGTGTACCTACCTACTCGAGCACAATCTAATATTGTGTTGTTTAAATAAATTAAAAAACTAAAATTATGGATAAAAATAAAAAGAAGAAACCCTGTGGTGCATTTAAACTCCAACAACACCAAGAAAGAGAAGATAGTGAACAAAAATTGTTCAAAGGACATTGTTCAGCGTCCATACATAGTTAGCCTAAGAACCAACAATCATGAAATATTATTATCTAGGTTCAAAATCGTAAGTAAATGACTGTAAAAACAAAGATTCTTGACGGACACTTCTGAGAACTTAAATTATTAGGAAAACTAAAATTTTTTGAGGTTATGTTTAATATTCAATGAAAAATAGGTCAACCTATGAATTTAGTGTGAACTCAGTATGAAGTGAATTAATATTACAACTAATTCATTTTATTCGGTGCGATTTTAAAGAATAACTATTAGGAAAAACTTGGTTAGGTAGGAATCATGAATAAAATAAAAACTGTAGTTTTGCTTCTTATATATTGACTATTTTTCACATAATTGTATCATATTGTTTATTGTATTTATTTGGTTATCACATGTATATTGTGTAAATATGCAGCGTGAATGTGTATCAGGTGTTCTTGAATAATTTGGCAGTATGATCCTCTCAGGATGTTGTGACACAGGTTCAATAGCACTTGGTAATAAGGGCTCTGCTTTTTGGTAACATCGATGGCATATTAGATAGCCGAAATAGTTAAATTAAAGGAAAAACAATCGCAAATAAACACACAACAGATAATCCGAAACGAGAATGCACTTTCCGGTATAATAAACTACTCTTTGGAATGCACGAATGCCACACATTACTACGAATGCAAACTGCATGCACCACAACCACAGAGTAACAGTTTTATGCCGGCCCTTCACTTGACAACAGTTTGTCCTTGTCATGCTTAATAAGGAATGAAAAGGACAGACTGATGTCATGTTTTAAAATAGCAAATACAAATAGCCAAGTGAAGTGCCGGCATTAGGAAGAAAGAGTGTTTTGTTTGCAGCGCTGCCATAGATTATACATATAAAATGGTATTTATTGTCTCAGATTATTTTTTAACTTTTTAATTTAGCTTACTTAACTGGAAGTGTCCGTCAGAATCTAAATACTGATAATTATCGCAAAAAATATACTAAGAATTATCATAAATGCCAAATTGGTGTTGGTTCTTAGGCCAATTTTAACATTATCCTTTGACAAGCTTTTTAGTCAGCCTTCTGCAAGTACATCTGGCCAAAATATTTCTATCGATAGTGACTCAAATAATGTGTTAATTGCATTGTTGGTTGAGAAGCCTACTGAAGAAGATTCGACAATTATTGCAGTTGGAGATACCTCCGCCGCCGATCATGTGAACGTGGATAAAGTTTGCATAGCACACATAAGAGTGGAGGGTTTGGAGGAACCACATGACTTCTTATGACTTGGAAGCTTCACGAACAAAATATTAAGTGGTAACGAAAAACTTAAAATTCTTGATATGGGGCCTTTACCGCCTTCAGGACCTTTTCCAACAGACATCAACCAGAACAATAGGTGTTTTTCAAAATCGTACTACGTTTCGTGTTCTTAATATGGGCCAGTTAATCGTTTTTGGTTGTGTTATTCCAAAATACTAGACGCTGCCTATTGTCAACCCTACTGGTTATTTGCTTCATAAAGGAATAATGTTTGTTGTACGGGAATTCGAGATTGGAAGCATTTATCAGAAAGAATTAAACAACACAGTTGTTCGAGTGGCCATCAAAAACGATACTAATGCTATCGACAAGGAACTTGAAAATAAAATTCGCAAAGAAGCATCATTTTGGAAAATGGTTCTTCAAAGGTTATTCGATATCATACTTACCCTAGCAAAAAGTTCTTTGGCTTTGAGAGGACATCAAGAAGACTGAAGTCAGGAAGGATACCACGGAAATTGTCTGTCCTTTGTAGAGCTTGTCGCCGGATATGATCACATTTTGCGGCAAGTTTTGGATATGCCCAAAGGTAATAATTATTATTTCTAAGTTTTTTATCGTTTTATTTTGTTTATAATTATTAACTGTTTAAAATCAGGACTTTTTTTGAAATTGTGGGTTTTTATGTTTTTAGGATCTACAAGATATCTGAGTGCAACAATTCAAAATGAAATGATTGAGAGCTTGGGGACCAAACTCGCAACCCATCTACTAGAACAAATTAGAGCGTCACCGTTTTTTGCCATCATAATGGATACGACACAGGACATATCGAAGGTAGATCAGCTAAGCATTTTTGTGAGGTATGCAGTAATAACCAGATCGGAAAATGGACAGCCAATTTATATAGAAGTAAAGGAAGTGTTTCTAGGCTTTTATGCAGCTATCAAACATGGCGCAGTAGATTTAGTCAACCAAATGACAACATTATTTATCGACAAAAATATTGATTTAAAAAAGAATGTGGGGCAAGGCTATGATGGAGCCAGTGTAATTAGTGGTGTGTATAATGTTGTACAAAAACATATTAAGGATATCCAGCCTAACGCAGAGTACGTACATTGTGCCACTCATAATTTAAATTTGGTGATAAATGATGCCGTTAGCAGTTGTGTGGAAAAACAGATTTTTTTCGCAACGTTGCAAGATTTGTGTAACTTTTTCGGAAACAGCATCAAACGTTGGGTTCTACTGTCCAAATTCACTGGCGAATCGGACACCATTCTAAAAAACTAAATCCGCCTAGATGGTCCAGTAGGGTCAATACGATATCTGCAATAAAACTTCGTTATTTTGATATTATCAAAGCATTATCAGAAATAGTTCTATAGAGTCCTAATGAAGATGAGCGTAGTGAAGCAGAGATTATTAAAACAAAAATGCTAAATTTCGAGCTTGTGTTGCTTTGCGAATTCATGCACTGTATATTGAACGACATCAATTATGCATCCAAAACTTTACAAAAATGCGACATCAATTTGGGCGAACCGAGTAAAGTTTTAGCAGAGACCAAAGCAAAGTTGCAAATTTATAAAATTATTTCGAATTATTCAAGTTCAAAGCCAGTAAAACTGCAAGAAAATATGGTATTGATACCCATTTTCAAGAAAAAAGGCAAAGAAAAGTTAAAAAACATTTTGATGAATTCGCTGCTGATCACCGATTTCCAAACCGAGAAAAAATATTTAAAATTAAGATTTTCAATAATGTACTAGATACAGTAATATCTCAATTAGATGCACGTTTTATTGGTATGAGTGCAGTCTGTCATATATTCGATTTTCTAACACCAACATTTTTATTACATGTTGATGTAGCAACTTTATTACAAAAGTGTGACGAATTCCAAAGAAAATATACAGATATAATAGGCCCTAGTTTTGCACTTCAATTTATTAATATTACCACCTAGTTTTACCTCAACTAACTCAAGCATGGACTGTTCACCAATTACGTAAGGAAATAATGTGCAAATATAGAGTGCTAGAATGCGACCTAACGGAAGTATTTACAGCAATGTTATTATTCTTTACAATTCCTGTCACTTCTGCAGCAGCTGAAAGGTCATTTAGCAAATTAAAAATAATAAAAAAATATTTAAGAATGGGCCAAACTCGACTCCGACATTTATCGCTAATAGCAATTGAAAAAAAAACCGCATCAAGCCTGGATTTAAACGAAGACATTGATACTTTTGCGAAAACTAAAGCTAGGAAAAAAATGAAAATATTATTGTTATTTAGTCAGTTGGTAGGCCCGACCTTTATATAATAAACCCTTGAATCTTCTCTATTTCGTTTTATTAGCCAAATCTACACCAAGTATTAATTGTAATTTATGCTGTTACTGTTTAATATTTTTATTACCTGCCCTGCAGTGCACAAAAAAGAGCTTAAGTAGCTTAGCATTTTTAAAGTATTTGTATATTTCATATTTTTATTTGATAAAACCTAATCAGTTTACATAGCAGTGGGGCCCCATTTTTTTATTTGCCCCAGGGCCCTTGGTTACCTAGCTACGCCACTGGTCCTACCAATGTCAATTTTTGGACATTTACACTGGTGTTACAGGGATTTCATCCGTTACAAATTTAGTGTTATACTACTAGTGTTAAGGACGGGAAAGAAGATGGGTAATGCGCGACAGAACCCTCATAAGTATGTAAGCATACTGTAATAATTGCAAAGCCTCTATCGGACGTATGAACAAACTAGTTTTGTCCATACAAAATGTTACGATTCCGATACTTTGCGGAGCTGTCAAAACCTGATGCTTAGGCCTCTGAGCTCTGTTGGGCACAGCAGTTATAAACTGCTACATCAACCATCCTCACCTTGCCTGCCTGCAAAAATGCTTATTTAAATGTGTGCCTTATTGAAATAGTTTATGATTTCTTTTTGCCACAAAAATTAAATACCTTAATTAAAATTAGGTAACACTTCTTTCTCTTCATTAGATACTATCGCACCAATAAATTCGACTACTACAAAAAACGTCTGTAGGTACTATAAGCTCTCCAGCGTCGACTGAGCTCCTTTACTGCTTCACTACCCGATTGTCAGGGCATAAGGAAATAAGGAAAAGCGGGTCGCGCCGATCGCCCTAGATCGGGTATTTATATTATTTTTGGTATTTTTATTTTTTAGGTATTCCCTTACTCATATTACACCACCCTTAGTCAGGGTAGTCTAATAGGCTTTTCTTCGACTCTCGGGTCGGCCAGGGAGAGGCGAGCGACTGGCTGCAGCAGAGCTGCAGCAGGTCCGTTCCATCGCGCAGAGGGAAATTCTGCGCCGATGGGACGAGGCACTCGCTCATGCTGATGCCGGCCACCGGCCGGTAGAGGCCCTTCGTCCGGTGTTGGAGGAGTGGGTGGGACGCCGGTGCGGCGGTCTCACCTTCCGCATGGTGCAGATCCTGACCGGACATGGGTGTTTCGGTCACTATCTGCACCGGATCGCCCGTCGGGAGGAGACACCGCGCTGTCATCATTGCGACGCTCCCGACGATACGGCCGAGCACACCTTGTTGGAGTGCCCGGCCTGGCGACGATAGCGCCGCGAGCTAATCGCAGCGCTTGGATGCGGAGCCCTCTCGCTGCCTATCATGGTCGAGGCCATGCTCAGTGGCGAGACGGCTTGGAATGCGGCCGCCTCCTTCTGCGAGGTCGTCATCTTGCAGAAGGAGGCGGCCGAGAGGCTGTTGGGTGCGGAGACGCGGTGAAGTCCCTCAACGGGGACCTCGCCGTTCCGCACTTAAACAGCGTAGAGGGTATTCGCAAGATGTTTTTAGCGGATAGGCTTTTCTACGACTCGAGCTGTTTATCGAGCACAAGCGCATTCCTCATCTGCACTCAGATCGTCAAATCTACAAATAGTTAATTATCGCAATGTTGAATTAGACATTCAACATTTCGATAATTATCGGCAAATCGAATTTAAAAAATTAAGAAATTTACTTACCAGCAGGCACGGCGTTCTGAAACAAAGAAAAAATATAAAATTAAGATTCATTTATATATTGCATGATGGACGATAGATCTGACTTGCCATTTAAACTGCTTGGGTTGGCAATGCTGGCAAGCCCTACCATGCCACTGACATGGCGAGAACAACACTCACCTTCGATTTACCGATGATGTAGTCGATGGCGGACACTTACAATGCCCAACGATTTCAGCAGAGTCTCTCAACAAGTGGGTATTAAAATGAACATGAGTAAGACGAAAATCATGTCTAACGCTCGTGTTCCGCTCCACTCGGTAATACTTAATTTGGATAAATAGCTTAGTTGGGTAAGTCCAACACTCCAACATAGCTCAACGGATAGCCAAGCGAACCGATGGATGTTGGATTTCTAAAGTGCTTCCATGGCGACCGCGCACCGGGAAGCACAGTGTCGGTAGACCCCTCATCAGGTGGACTGACGATATCAAGGGAGTCGGGGCAACCCACTGGAGCGGAACGCGTAAGATCATTGTATATGGAAATCCCTTAGGCCTCCCGTAGAGGAGGCTTATGTCCAGAAATTGACGTCCATCAGCTGATGATGATGAGAGCATTGAGAGTTTAAAGCCTATTCGACAGGAAGTCAACTAATATTCATTCTAAATATTCCAATAAATAATATAACAGAACATTGATTAAAAAATCAAAAAGTCGTTTATTTTAATTTTTTGCAGATATTTTTAGGTTAGGTATGTGAAAAAAGTGCAAATACAGAAGTTGTAGATCATTTGATTATCTACCTACAATTTTGCCATTGAAATATTTTGATAGGAGTTGTAGTTTTTCCGAAAATTATCCTATCGAGCGATCTGGTGACAGTACGGAGTTGATGTATACACAGAACACAATGTTCTGAGAATGTAAGAGTGAGCTTATACCTACTCTTAAAAATCCATACTAAGAATATCCTGGTGGGTCTAAAGAGTTGTGACCTTAGATGTTAAAAATATATCGGGGTCTTATTTGATGAGCTTATAATAACATCAGAGAATAACATTTAGCCAAGATGGCTAAGCTCATGTCACATTTTGACACTCGCTTTAACTTTGAAGTGGATGAAGGAATAAAACACAGCAAGTTTGCATCCTTAGGTTTTCGGTAAAGTAGCACGAAATCGTGTTTTATAAGTAAGTACTTACGATTTGTACAGCAACTGCGGCTACAAGAAGAAACAAAATAAATTTATTCATTTTGTTTAATTTATATCACAGTTTATACAGTACAGCTAACACGGAAACTAAGAGCAGTAACCAACTACTAATTATTTGGCATAAACACTTCTTTTTTATAGATGTACCTATAATGGATCGTCTTCATAGTCAACATATGCCACCTAAACTAACATTAAAATATTATGTAGCTAATTAATAAGACGTTAATTTGAACAAATGTTTTAACGCTATAGGTATGTTTCAAACTGCGTGAATTGGCTGTTCTAGGTGAAACTAAGTCGCCTTGGTCTATTTTGAAGACAGAATTGGTTTACATACCTACATAATAATAGATTAAAGTTACAAAATAAACAAATATGTGCGTCAACTGGTATAGGTGGTACTATTAGTTAATACCCGCGTCATCGTAATCATTCATCATCAGCTAATCAATAGGAATGATGACGGTAACGAAATTCTATTTAGTTCGTCAGTTTGAGCATCAAAAAATAATGGACATTAATTTTTTTCTTTTGTCTATCAACCAAATAATGACAAAGATTAAGCGCGTCAAAGTTTGGGAGTGAGCGCCCGTCGTGACGTCACTTCCAAGTAAAAATTGTACCAAAACGAGACGTCATGGGATATTTCCGATCAAAATGTCTGTAATCTTGATTCTTTAAAAGAGAAAAAAAAATCGTGTCCAATTCTTTTGGAAAATCTACCCGATAGACGAAGCAAAAAAGTTAATCACTTTGCCCTGTTCTTTAGCATATATACCTCCCGGAGGACGGAGTAACTATGTTATATTGTTTGTTACTCACCAACTGGCTTAGTCGGATTGTTGAGACTAAAAAGATATCAGGGTGTGCTGTTGCTGTGACAACTACTTAAACATATTTTATTTATCTACCTACCTCATACTGGGTTTATTCAACACTAGTGGGTGCCTGCGACTTTGTCCGCGTGGAATTAGTGATTTGTGTAGTTTATTTTTTATCCATTATGTGTTTTCATCAGTCTAAAATGGGAAACTTTATAATTTATTTAGATATATATTCGTAATAAGTTTTAGTTCTATTAACTCAAAGAAAAAGATTTAGCACTTGCCTAGATACCGAATGCGGACGATTGTGATGGCACCTAATACAAATTAAGGAACCTTTTAGGATAACGTGAGTATTGTTCGCCATATTAAAATGGAAATAAGTAAATTTAAAAAATCAAAAAAACCGACTGCTTTATAATACAGATAGATATATGCAGATAAAAACTGAAAAGAAAAAATATAAGTCCACTAGTGTATAATTCTGTTAAGTAAGGGACAAAGCTATGATTTTCGATTATCTACACAATGATACCCTACTCGACATATTTCGTCAACTTATTTTTTTTACTTTGTAACAATATATCGACTAATTGTTCCCATATTGAATTTTGATTACTATCATATCTTTATTAGCACTCCCATCATTAAGACGAATCGATTGGTGTATGAATAATCAAAATCGGCCCACGCGTTTGGTCTCTAGTGAGCCACAAAGGAACATACATACATATATAGACTGTCAAACACTATACCCTGTCTGCGCGTCGAGCTTCGTGCTCTTACATTGCGCAGTCGGGTAAA